ATATATATATATATATATATATATATATAGTTGTCTCGTTATCATTTGTTGTACATACCCTCGTCTGGCTTGAGGGTTCGGTCAGCAGACTTAGGGTTTAGGGTTTAGGGTTTGGAGGTGAACGATTATTCACTTAGGGTTTAGGGTTTAGGGTTTAGGGTTTAGGGTTTAGGGTTTAGAGGCGCGTCTCTTTTTCACTGCTAGGAGCGAGAAGGAAAATGCTGGGTTTAGGGTTTAGGGTTTAGGGTTTGGCTTCTTTTAAAGGGTTTCCTACGCTAAACCCTAAACCCTAAACCCTAAACCCTAAATGAAATTCCTCGTAAACAGCTGTGTAGCCAAACCCTAAACCCTAAACCCTAAACCCTAGACTTTAAACCCACAGCCCTGGAGGAGCTGCACGTATCCGTCTTAGTCATAACAACATAAGGGGGTGTTGCTGATTGTGAAGATCTTGTTGTTGCTGCCGCTGATGCTCGTGCATGCATGCAAACAGCAGCGGCAGCAACAGCAGCAGCAACAGCAGCAGCAGCAACAGCAGCAGCAGCACAACCTGTAATATATTTGCAGTTGCTGCAGCTGCTTGCCTAACTAAGCAAGGCCCTAGAGAAGAAAGCAGCAGATTTTATTAATAAAATTAATTATAATATATTTTAATTTAACAATTATATTGAAGTTTAGCTGTTATGAGTTGCGCATACACCGCAGCAGTGTACAGACACGGTGAGAGTAGTGCTGCTCTATGTTTCTTTAAAAGTAGATAAATAATTTTATTTATTTTAAATTAATTCTTCATAAAATTTAAATAAATAATCTGTCCTTCGATTATTGCTGCTGCTGCCGCTGCAACAACTACAAACAAGGCTCCGCTTCAGCAGCAGCAGCAGCAGCAGAGGTGCAGCAGCAGCAGGAGCAGCAGCAGCAGCATCAGCAGCAGCACTCGGGTGTTTTCATCTACAAACCTCTTATTTTCTGTGTATAGACTTTGTTATTGAGTATTATATTATTAAGAGATTGCTGCTGCTCTTACATTTAGCTGGTGGATATAAGGCTGCTGCTACAGCAGCTTTGCTGCTGCTGCTCCTTTTACTTAAATACCGAGTTGCAGCTGCAGCAGCAGCAGCTGCTGCTGCTGCTGCTACTGCTGCTGCTGTGTTTGTTTGTCTTTTCTGTTAGGGCCCCCTGCTGCAGTCGTTATTTGTTAATTTATATTTTATTTATTTACTTTTATCTCTGTCTCCTTCTTCATCTTCTCTCTCTCCTTCATCAAGGTGTACATACACCACAATCTCTCTCTTTAAACCCCCCAGGGGGCCCCCGCTGCTGTTTAAGGAGGCCTCTTATAGAGCTTTAAGAGAAGTGCTGCTGCAGCTGTCTCTATCTGTAGATTATTCAGTGCTGTCTGCGAGCTGTACGTACACCTCGCTGTGTCGCACTCCTGCTGCTGCTGTTGCTGCTCCTGCTGCTGTTGCTGCTCCTGTTGCTGCTGCTGTTGAGGCTGCTCTCTCCCGTTCCTCTATGCGCTGACGGTGCGGCTCCTTATGGAAGCAGACAGCAGCGCAGCAGCAGCAGCAGGAGCAGCAGCAGCAGCACCAGCAGCAGGAGCAGCAGCAGCAGCAGCAGCAGAAGGAGCAGCAGCAGCAGAGATGCGGCCCCTTACACTTGAAGACGAAAGAGACGGGGGGGGCGTCGCCTCGCACCCTAGCAGCACCAGCAGCAGCAGCAGCGGCAGCAGCAACAGCAGCAGCAGCAACAGCAGGCAGCGCTGCAGCAGCCTTGATGGCCGCTACTGGCAGGTCGCGAACGGAAGAGAAGCAGAAGGAAGGCGACGCTCACGCAGACAGCAGCAGCAGCAGCAGCAGCAGCAGCAGCAGCAGGATGCTGAGGGGGTCTCTGCCTCCGAGGGCCCCAGCACCCCTGATGATGTTTCAGTAAGCAGCAGAAGCAGAAGAACACAGCAGCAGCAGCAGCAGCAGCAGCAGCAGCAGCAGCAGCAGCAGCAGCAGCAGCAGCAGCAACAGCAACAGCAGCTGATGAGGCAGAGGAGCCGCAGCACTGGACGGTGCGACCTAAGGGCTTCGGAATCTGATCGCGAGCAGCAGCAGCAGCAGCAGCAGCAGAAGCCGCAGCAGCAACCGAAGCAGCAGCAGCAGCAGCAGCAGCAGCAGCAGCAGCAAACAGAAGAGCCACGGGGCCTCCAGCGCTCGCTGCGGGTAAGACTTCCCCCCAAAAGATTAGCAGAGGAAGGGCTTGCTGCAGCAGAGCAGCAGCAGCGACGCCAGCAGCAGCAGCAGCAGCAGACAGCAGAAGCTGAAGATCGATCCCGCACTCGAAGCGCCCGACTGCAGCAGCAGCAGCAACAGCAGCAGCAGCAACAACAGCAGCAGCAGCAGCAGCAGCAGCAAGGGACGCAGCGCCCCCTCTCCCTTCGCCTACAGGCGCTGCGATCCCGGCAGCCGCAGCAGCAGCAGCAGCAGCAGAAAGATGATGAAGAGGAGGAGCAGCAGCAGGAGCAGCAGCAGCAGCAGCAGGAAGACGAGGGAGATGATGAAGAAGATGAATCCACAGCAGCAGCAGCAGCAGCAGCAGCAGGTACCCGATACAGCTTGCGAGCGAAGCGTCATAAGAAAGAAGTTTTTCATGCTGATATCCTTGCAAAGAAAAGCTATAAGCCTTTATCTGCTGCTGCTGCTGCAGCAGCAGCAGCAGCAGGAAGGAGACCGCGAGACAGCAGCATGGGGGACACAGCAGCAGCGCTGGCTGACGGTGATAACAGCACAGAAGAAGCAGAAGCAGCAGCAGCAGCAGCAGCAGAAGGAGACAGCAGCAAAAACGGCTTCAGCGATTCAGAGTACGATTTGCTGCTGTCGGATGGTGAGGCAGCAGCAGCAGCAGCAGCAGCATCAGCAGCAGCAGCGGCAGCCGCCGAAGCCGCAGCAGCAGGAGCTGCTGCTGCCTCAGCAGCAGCAGCAGCAGCAGCAGGAGGTGCTGCTGCTGCAGCTAAACGAAGAGGGGGCCCCGGGAGGCCTCGCCTCCATCCCTTGGGGCTAAGAAGCAGCAGCAGCAGCACTTATACTGTGCCGCTTCCTGCTGCGCTGCAAGATGTTAAACAAAAAATATTTAGAGATCCTAAGCTTGTTGAATTTGCTCTACCCTTCATGTAATCCTACACCCTGCTGCTGCTGCTGCTGCTGTTGCTGCTGTTGCTGCTGCTGTTGCTGTTGCTGTCGTTGCTGTTGTGGATGCTGCTGTGGATACTGATGCTTCTGTTTCTGCTGCTGTTGCTGTGGGTGCTGCTGCTGTGCTGCTGCTGTTTCTGTTTCTTTTGCTGCTGCTGTTGCTGTTGCTGCTGCTGCTGCAGTGGGTGTAGTGCTTGCAGCTGGATTATTATTATAATTTTTTAGTCTTAAGGAGTACTGAATTATATATTTAATTTAATTATTTGACTATTTAATTTTATTTGTTTTGCTGCCTTCAGCCATTTCTATTTACCCGTGCTGCTCCTCAGCAGCAAAAGACAGCAGCAGCGGGGTGCAGCATATACAGAACTTTATCTCAGCAGCAAAACTTCATTTCAAGAACAAATGCTGCTGCTGCAGCAGCTGCACCAGCAGCAGCAGCAGCAGCAAGTGCAGCAGCAACAAGGCTTGGAAGACATGCAGCAGCAGGAGCAGCAGCAGGAGCAGCAGCAGGAGCAGCAGCAGCAGCAGGATGGCGACAGCAGCGACAGCAGCGAGGAAGCTGACACAGCAGCAGCTGACTCTAATGCAACAGCAGGAACATCAGCAGCACCAGCAGCAGCAGCATCAGGGAAGCTGTCGCTTCCTGGAGGAGCACCAGCGACAACAGCAGCAGCAGCAGCAGCAGCAGCAGCAGCAGCAGCAGCAGCAAGGAAACCAGGAAGAAGGGGCCCCCGCCGCAGGTTTAGAAGAGGAGGTTCTGTTGCTTTACCTCGCACAGCTCCTCCTTTAGTATCATACAGCAGACAGCAATTTCTAACATCTGCTGCTGCTGCTGCTGCAGCAGCAGCAGCAGCAGCAGCCGGAGGAGCAGGAGCAGCAGGAGCAGCAGCAGCAGCAGCAGCAGCAGCAGATAATGAGGGTAGAGGGAGGGTGTTCTGCGGCTTTGATTCTGATAATCGCGTAGAGTTGTTTGCGCCTCTATCTCTAAACATATTCAATAAAAGAACAGATAACTGCATGCTGTCGCTGCCTCCTTACACTGGGGGCCCCTGGGGCCCCCTCATAGCAGAAGGAAGACCAGCAGAGCTTCTTTTTGACGATATACTGCTCAATAAGCATCAAAGAACAACTTTATTACGAGTAAACCCTAAACCCTAAACCCTAAACCCTAAGGGCTAGTAGCATCAAAGAACGACTTCATTACGACTACACACTAAACACTAAACCCTAAACAAACAAACCTGAACCCCTAAACCCTAATTAGACAAACCCTAGACTGGAAACCATAAACTAAACCCTAAACCCTAAACCCTAAACCCTAAAATCCCCCAGGTCAAAAGGCGTAAACCCTAAACCCTAAAGAAGGAGAGTAGAATACTAAACAGACAAACCCTAAGCGTTTTAAACCCTAAACCCTAACACAAACCACTAAACGACAAACCCTAATGAGACAGATACACAGACGGGGTTTGGGCCTTCTCGCCTGTAGGGTTTAGGGTTTAGGGTTTAGGGTTTAGGGTTTGATCGGGTTGCGCTCAGGGTCTTTCTCTGTCAGCAGCACGCCTCTGGGCTTCTGCTGCTGCTGCTAGAGAAGCATCAGATGTCGCTCTTGCTGTTGCTGCTACCAACAGCCCCGAGTTCTGGGGTGCTTCGCCTGCTGCTGCTGCTGCTGCTGCTTGTAGCAGCAGCAGCTGTTGCAGCAGCAGCTGCAGTAGCGGTTGCAGCAAGTGGAGCAGCTCGAGCAGCAGCAATGGCTGCTGCTGCTGCTGCACAACAGAGAATACCTACCGCCAGGTGCGGCGCCGCCTTGCTGCTTCTTTCTGCGGTCTGGAGCAGCAGCTGCAGCAGCTGCTGCTGCTGCTGCCTCCTTCAGCGTTGCTGCAGGGGGGGTTGCCTCATAGGAGGCCCAGAGTAAGGGGGGCTTTGAAGGGGCCTGAGGAGGGCTCAGCAGCAGCAGCAGCAGCAGCAGCAGCAGCAGCAGCAAGTCCTGCAGCTGTTGCAGCTGCAGCAACGTCAACGACTGCAGCAGCAGCAACAGCAGCAACAGCAGCAGAAGGGCAGCAGCAAGCAGAAGGCTCCACGCTTTTTTTTAACTCGCAGACATTTGGGGTGTACGGTGCTCAGGAGGGATTTGCTGCTGCTGCTGCTGCAGCTCCAACAGCAGCAGCAGCAGCAGCAGATCCAGCAGCAGCAACAGGGTGGAAGAAGCCTGCTGCTTCTTGGCTGCTGCTGCACCGTCTTGCTGCTGAGGGGGGTTCTACTTTGCCTAGGGGCCCCGCCTGGCGCGTTGCTTGGGGAGAAGCAGAAGCAGCAGCAGCAGCTGCTGCTGCTGCTGCTGCTGGTCCTGACGGTGATGCAGCTGCAAGCACAGGAGCAGGGGAAAAGTCAGCAGCAGCAGCAGCAGCAGCAGCAGCAGCAGCAGCAGGTGGTTTGCGCGAATGGCAGCAACAGCGGCTACAGGAGAAGCAGCAGCTGCTGCCGCCACTGCCTGCAACAGCAGCAGCAGCAGCAGCACCAGGAGGAGGAGGAGGAGCAGCAGCAGCAGCAGGAGACTGCGCATTTGTTTTATCAGCAGATTACCTCGAAATATATAATTCAATCTGGGAGGGGAGAGGGGCCTACTTGGTTCCTTCACTGCAGCAGCACACAGCCAAAGTTTGCTGCTGGCTTGACGAGCAGCAGCAGCGCAAGCGCAGCAGAGAAGAAGCACTCGCTGCTGCTGCTTCTGCTGCTGCGGCGGCTGCTGCTGCTGCCAACGCAGACGCAGCTGCGCCGGCGACAGCATCAGGCGCAGCAGCAACAAGCGCAGCAGCAGCAGCAGCAGCAGCAGCAGCAGCAGCAAAGAAGAAGAGCCTCGCCTTCAAGGGGCCCCCCCTCCCTAAGCGCCCCGACCCAGAGCATTTTGTCTCTGCTCTGTGGAGCCCGTCGCGTCAGCAGCAGCAGCAGCAGCAGCAGCAGCAGCAGCAGAACAAGCAGGTGCAGGGGAGCTCAAAGAAGCGGAAGCTGCTGCAACAGCAGCAGGGGCTGAAACAGCCTATGCAGCCGCAGCAGCAGCAGCAGCAGCAGCAGCAGCAACAGCAGCAGCAGCAGCAGCAAGGGGAACTTCCCTCCGCCAGCTCGCATTCTGCTGCTGGGTGCACGAAGACGCCTGGGGAGCAGCAGCAGCAGCAGCAACAGCAGCAGCAGCAGCAGCAACTGCAGCAACAGCAGCAGCAGCAGGCCGACTCCGATGCTACTGGAGCTCCCAGTAGCCCCGCGCCATCTTCTCAAGCAGGGGCTGCTGCAGCAGCAGCAGCAGCTCCAGCAGCAGCAGCAGGAGCAACAGCAACAGCAGCAGCAACTGCAGCAGCAGCAGCAACAGCGAAGAAGTCGCCATTTGCCCAGGTGGATGCGCTGCTGCAGCTGTTACGTGCTGAGCGTGCATGCATAGCAGCAGCAGCAGGTCCTGCTGCTGCTGCTGCTGATCCTGGTGCAGCAGGAGCAGCAACAGCAACAGCAGCAGCAGCACCAGAGGAGCAGCAACTGTCTATTGATGTTGTGAGGCTTCTCTCATGGCGACTACGCAAGGAAGTTGCTGCTGCTGCTCAGCTGCCTGAGTGCGGCAAACGAAAATTAAATACAAGAGTAAAAGAGATTGCTGCTGAGTTTGCTGCTGCTGCTGCTGCTCTAGCAAGCGGCAGCAGCACATCTGACGACGTGGCTGCTGCAGCTACCGACAGCAGCAACTCCAATACACTGCTGCAGCAGCAGCAAGAACAAGGCGATGCAGCATCAGCATCAGCAGCTGCTGCTGCTGCCAGCGAGGCCCCTTCCCCTCCTGCAGCAGCAGCAGCAGCAGCAGCAGCAGCACCTGCTGCTGCTGCTGAAGGAGGAAGCCGCCCCCGGCGAGTCGCTGCGGGGTCGCGTATGGCTGGGTTTGTTACACTCCTCAAAAGAGGGGCCTCCCTCGGTGAGCACCTGCTGCTGCTGCTGCTGCTGCTGCTTATTCTGCTGCTGCTGCTGCTGCTGCTTATTCTGCTGCTGCTGCTTATTCTGCTGCTGCTGCTTATTCTGGTGGTGGTGTTGCTGCTTATTCTGCTGCTGCTGCTGCTATTTTGCTGATTCCGGTGTTGCTGCTGTTCTTGCTAGTACTGCTGCTGCTGCTGATCTTGCTACTGCTGCTGCTGTTGCTGATCTTGCTACTGCTGCTGCTGCTCCAGTTTTCTGTTGCCTCTTTTGCTGCTGCTGGCATTGCTGCTGCTGCTGTTGATGTTGCTGCTGCTGCCGATTTTGTGTGTATGCGCACAGACCCGGCTGCTGTGCCTGGAGAGGAGGCGTTGGCTGCTGCTGCTGCTGCCGCAGCAGCAGCAGCAGCAGCACAAGATGCTTCGCTGACAGCATCTCCAACACCAAGTTGTGCAGCAAATTCATCGGGGGGTGTATGCACAGCAACAGCACAGCAGCAGCAGCAGCAGCAGCAGCAGCAGCTGCGCGCGGTTGTTGCGGCGGAGTTGCTGCAGCAGGTTACTGCTGATGGTAGGGAAGGAGCGACTGCAGCAGCAGCAGCAGCAGCAGCACCTCTAGACTCGCTGCAGCGCGTGCTGCAGCAGCTGCCTCTAAACGAAGCAGCAGCAAGGCTGGGTGTACACCGCAGCACTTTAGCGCGGTGGGGTCGTATGTGGTCTCTTAAACAGCCGCAGCCGCAGCAGCAGCAGCAGCAGCAACAGCAACAGCAGCAGCGGAGTAGCGCAGCGGTCGTACCTTCGCAGACCGATGCAGCTGCAGCACCAGCAGCAGCAGCAGCAGCAGCAACCGCAGAATAGTGCTGCTGCTGCGCGTGCTGGACCTGCTATAGCAGTGAGAGAAGCAGCAGCGGCAGCAGTAGCAGCAGCAGCAATCGAGCAGCAACGCCATCGACTGCATATTAGCTAATGCAGCAGCAGCAGCAGAAGCAGCAGCACTTCGCTAAGTTGTTTGTATATTAACGCCCCCCGCTGCTGCTGCTAGAACGAGCACAGCAGCAGCGGCAGCAGCAGCAGCAGCAGCAGCAGCAGCAGCAGCAGAGATTGCTTGTGCTGCTGCTCGCTCTTTGCTACATCTGCCGCTTATTAACGAACCCGAAGTAGACATTTAGGGTTTAGAGTTTTAATAGAAGGGTTTAGGGTTTCTACCTGCTCTAGGGTTTATAGTTTAGGGTTGAGGGTTTGCAACCTTCTTAGGGTTTAGGGTTTAGGGTTTACAGCCCCTGTAGGCTTTAGGGTTTAGGGTTTACACCCTTTTTAGGGCTTACGGTTTAGGGTATGGAGCCCTCTTAGGGTTTAGGGTTTAGGGGTTTTAGGGTTTAGGGTTTGTCTTGTTAAGACAGCAGCTGCAGCTGGAGCGAACGAGGCAGCAACTGTTTCTTCTTCGTAATCTAAACCCTAAACCCTAAACCCTAATTTCTTATATATGCTGCTGTTCAGAGAATTCGGGGGGTTTAGGGTTTCAAAGCCTAGACCCTAAGCCACCTCCGTCCTAGGGTTTAGGGTTTAGTGTTTATAGTGTTTAGGGCTTAGAGCTTATTGTTGAGGCTTTAGTGTTTAGGGTTTAGGGTTTAAAGTTTATTGTTGAGGCTTTAGTGTTTAGGGTTTAGGGTTTGGTGCTTTAGGGATTTGCTGCCGCCTTTTGCCGTCTATGTCTAGGGCGTTTAGGGTTTAGGGTTTAGGGTTTAGGGTTTAGATGCATTGAGGGTTTAGGGGTTTCGTTGGGGGTTTAGGGAAGATGATGGCTTAGGGTTTAGGGTTTAATGTTAAGTGCTTAGCCTTTAGAAGGTAGGTAGGGTTTTAGGGTTTTAGGGTTTAGGGTTTAGGGTTTTCTCCTAAGGAATAGGGGTTGGCTTTAAGGCAGTAACGGTTTAGGGTTTAGGGTTTAGGGTTTAGGGTTTAGGGTTTTAGGGATATTATATATTACGCTCTAGTATTTAGGGCTTAGGGTTTTAGGGCTTAAAGGGTTAGGTTTTAGGGCTTCTAGGGTTTAGGGTTTCTAGGGTTTAGGGTTTACGGCTTAGGGTTTAGGGTTTAGAGGCCCCGATCATAAGTGCATGCCTTTGTATCATTTTTGTCTCCGAGTGTATATTATTTTGTGTTTTTCTTCTTAATTAAATAAAATAAACAAAAAATAAATTATTAAAACATTTATAACTCAACAGCTTTCGTTTGTTGCTGTTTTATCTCCCTATACACCCCAGCCCCTGCAGCCTAAACCCTAAACCCTAAACCCTAAACCCTAAAATCTCGCACGAATCTGTAGACCCTAATTGAGGGTTTAGGGTTTAGAAGGGCATCGCATTTATCATTTCTCCTGCCTCCTTCTAAACCCCCGATTTATACGTTCGTACATCTCGACTTAGGGTTTAGAGTTTAGGGTTTAGGGTTTAGGGTATAGGGTTATGGAGGGGTTCTCTTCCACCTCCGAGCCCCATGAGGCTTACGAAGTAAACTACGCCCCTCATATTCCTCTAGAGAGTGAGGCAGATGTAGAAGCAGCTCAGCAGCAGCAGCTGCTGCTGCAGCAGCAGCAGCAGCAGCAGCAACAGCAGCTGCGGCAGCAGCAGGGAGCAGCAGCAGCAGAAACAGCAAAGGCACTTCGCGCATTACAATTGGGAGCGGACGCTGCAGCAGAAAAGTAGGATATGAGAATTGCTGCTGCTTCTGTTGCTGCTGCTGCTGCTGCTGCTGCTGTTGCTGCTGCTGTTGTTGCTGCTGCAGTAGCAGCAGCTTATTGTTGTGCGTGTCTTTGTGTGTTATTGCTGCTGCAGCAACAGCCGCACTGAGTCTCTGCTGCAGCAGAGTGAAGCAGCAGCAGCAGAAGGGGCTCAGCTTGCTGCTGCTGCTACAGAGTTAAGAGAAGCACTTACGGTATGCCTATTCTTCTGTCTCTCTTTGTTTTTCTTTGTTTTTCTTCTCTTTATTTAAATATATAAATATATAAATATATAAATATATATATTTATTTATATATTTATTTAAATCTTTTGTCTATTATATTTATTTATTTATTTATTTATTTTATATCTGCGGTTTTCATTTATATTTTTTTCTGTCTTTCTTCTACCGCTTCACTTATATATATATCTATACATATATACATATATATTGTATATATATACTTAATTATTTATTTATTTATCTACTTATTTATTTATTTATTTATATATTTTATTTATATATTTTATATAAAGGGGTATATAGAGAGGGATAAATAAAAATAGAAGTCTGCTTTGTTTGTTTTTGTTTGTTTGTTTTTGTTGTTTTATATTTTATATTTTATTTATTTTGTTTTTACCTAAATTAATTAATTTACTTAATTTATTTAGTTTAATTAATTTAATTAATTTAATTAAGTTTATTTTATTGATTCAAACCCTAAACCCTTAACCCTAAACCCTAAACCCTTAGACTATATGAGTTAATTAACATTATTAACAAATAATTAAATATTTAACTTTATTTTATTTATTTATTTATTTATTTATTTATTTATCTGTTTTTCGCTTATTTATTTGTCTCTTCATATATATATAGATGTATATTTATTTATTTTATTTTATTTATTTATATATATATATATATATATATATT